GAACTGTTGATTACTTAATGCTTTCTTTTCCTGAGGTATTATAACATAAAATAATTAAACTGATAATAACTGAAGATATAGTCCATTTTAAGATTTTGATTATATCGCCCAAACGTCATTTGCTATTTATCTGGGGCTATCGGAATCCTGAAATAAATTAAGCATTTTAGTTACGATACCATGGGAACAAATGCAGTAATGGTAATTTTTCATTTGCTCATTTGTCCATAACAAGTAATTACCTCATGTTTTTATTAAGTAGCAATGTATTGACATATTTCATATGAGGCAGTAGGCTACAGAAAAATTAAAATAATTCATTGAAGTATGAATTTTATTGATGGTACTCTTATATGATCGGTTAGTGTGATTTGAACCTCTTTTTGAGGTATTTCTTTAGGTTCATAGCTTAATATATTAGACAGGTCCAGTGATTAGAATTTGAATAAATAGTTTAAATTTATTGTTAAGAAGGCCATTTCCAAATCTTTTAAGAAACATTCTTCTAATCCCGGTTAACTGTGAATTATGGTATTATAGTGCTCAGATTTTAGCTTGTCAGCAAACTTGTTAATTACATTTTTGTACCTTTAGTATCTCTGTCAAAAACTGATATAATATAGTGCCCAGATTCAGCTAATCTGAATGGTTGATTATATATATTTCAGATTATCTCAGCAATCATATAGGGAGAAGGTAAATTGTGTTATATGAAAAAACTAACATGAGTAATCACTTTGGTTTGCCTTTTACTGGTCCTACAAAATTTCAGTAGTTTCTTTAGCAATAGCTTGAAATAAAACAAAGGTTATTATTTAACATTTCTAGCCTCATTTCAATTGATTTAATGTTGGAGAGAAGGAGAAAAAGACTAGATGGTTTAAATATTAAAAAGAACTGTTGTGTCCATATATACTCTCTTTGGAACAAAGAGATGCTTATGAATAGAATAGAATAACATTATTGACACTTTAAATGTATACTAATCAGCATACATTAAAATGAAATTTCGTTGCATTCAGCTCTCAAAAGGGTCACCACCTCCAATATACACTACATAAATATGACAAAAATAAATACAGAATTATGCATATACCCACATATGACACAGAAACAACAGTCTAGTTCAGGTTATATATACATGTGCATGGCAAGAAAAACGAATCTTGCACGTTTGAATATTTTGTTTGAATATTTTCCCACAGTGCAGTTTTATTAATAAGACCAGCCACAGCATCTTTGTTGATATGTAATGTTAAACCAGGGTTATTAAACCATAGTTTGTTGATGAAGTGATATACGCCTGGTTTACAAATGACACTAAAGATGGCGAATATATTTGTTCTTCCATTAGGCTAAAACCAGCCAAAATTCATTATCACTTAGTATATGTGAATAAGACTACTGTGAAAAGTATTCTGTGGAGAATGTCTAATTTGCTTATTATATTTCTCATGGTAGATGGATGTTTGACGGCACTACAAATACTTATATGGGCAACTAGGTGGAAATGAGTAGGAAGAGGATATTTGTTAGGTTGCTTATTACTTTTAACTGGGTGGGACTTAATTGGCACCTTGTTTTTCCCCCAGAACTTTTAATACAGCCAAATGCAGCTGTCCACTACTGCCCTAGTTTTATTCCTTTACCCAATGGTTTCAATTCTAAGCAGTAGCCTGCTTAAGAAAAGTATTAACTTATATGATGGTATCTTAATAAGCATAGAAAAACATATGATCCAAGCTTTTATCTTCTGTTTTTAGAGTTCCCTGTTAATCAAACTTTCATTACTGAAAGATGAGTATTCTCTTAATATTGTTTTACAACATATTTATTTGAAAGCAATTAATTGAACTGTTAATTGGTCCCATTTACTAGGATCAGCTTTATTGAAATATCTCAATTTGAAAATAAACTTTGCAATCAGTGTAACAACCCTCTGTTCCTGCCTCCTAAAATGGTAGGTGCCTTGTCCTTGTGCTAGAAAAAGCAGGAAGTGTGGAGCAGCCATATATCTACAGTTAGTATGAGGGAATATTTATTGGGAATATTGGTTCTGCCACCTACCAAGGGAATGATGTTCACAACAGTTGAGTAAATATTGTTTAGGAAAGTACTATTAAACTATTAATTATATTACAATTATTTTTATATTGCCAATTAAAGCAGCTCTAGACAGTTTCCAGTAGCACATTAAAATCATCCATAAAATCCAAAATATTAAAAACATTAAATCTTTATATGTTCTATAAAATCCTTTTTATAAGAGCGAACATAAGATCCCAGCTCCTAAGCCAGTGATGGCGAACCTTTTAGAGACCGAGTGCCCAAATTGCAACCCAAAACCCACTTATGTATCGTCGGGTGCCAGGTGGGCGTGGCCCATTGGGTGGGTGTGGCCCATTGGGTGGGTGAGGCTGCGGTGGTAACAGCAGACTGGATGGGACTAAAAGGTTCAATCAATCAATTCCAACTTTGCGAGATCTTGTTTTTCTCGTGAGAAGTTGAAATTGATTGATTGATTGAACCTTTTTTTTTTTGCACACGGCAGGGGAGGCCTAAAGTGAAAAGGTTTTATAAAACCCAGCTGAAGGCCTAGGACTGGGGCGACGGCCTGCGTGCCCACAGAAAGGGCTCTGCGTGCCACAGGTTCGCCACCACGGTCCTAAGCATTACTGAATTTGCACTCCTTTGCACCTTTAATTAGTTTAAATTCCATTGGATGCATGTGATTTACTTTCAAGTTAGTGTGCATTTATATAGCATGAGGAGGGCAACTGCAATTTCAGGATCACCTGTTGGCACCAAACTATTTTAAACAGTGGAACCACTATTCCACCTCCTGCAGAAGGAGGTAACTAGAATATATTTCATAATTATTCTAAAACAGCTAATAACTAGTACCAATAAACCAACCTCAATGATGCAGATAACAGATACCAAAATCCTGTACAAACATGGATGGGAACTCTTATAATACCTGCTTTGGCAATACTGTTGTAGCACTTATATCACCACATCACCAGGAAACATTTGCTCCACCTACATAAATAAGCTAGTCTCTACATAATAAAATAAATGGACATAATCTAACATCAGAAATAGTAGCCTAAAGTCAGCAGGGAACATTTTAACTCACTAGAATATTCTGTGACCTTAGAATGGCTTTCCTTGACAAAAGAAATCACAAAGGTGCATTTCATTGTGAATCCCTGAGCCATGTTTTGTCAGATTTAATGCCTTTTCTCACAGACTGAGACAAAACTGCTTATTACACCAATGGGGTTAATCAGTCATCCTATGACTTTTCACCAAGTCTTCTATAATTATCTTAATCATTATCTTAATCACTCCCTGTAGGTAATTCTGTCTCACTACTGCTCCCTCCCCTGACAAACACAGTATATAGGATATAGCATACTCTATACTCCTTTTTCATAACTATTTATATATCTGGTGATTGAGATCTACGTGTTAGTCTGCAAGGCACCTCAAGAGTTTGGCTTTTGAGGGCTATTCCAGAAATTGTTTTCACATAGAGCCTTTCCCTACTCATTGTTAAAGAGTAGCTACCCTCCTATCCTTCAGTTAACAGAAAACTATCGAGGACTTGAAAAATGTGAAATTTGAATAGAAAATGCTGTAAAGAATACATCAGTCACCAAAATTTCAAAAAAGCCAGATACTAATATTCAAACAGATCTCAAATCAGATATTAGGAAGACAATATATTTGTCATGGCAAATTTTACAGGTAGTCCTTAACAACCATTTGTTTAGTGACGGTTTGAAGTTACGATGGTGCTGAAAAAAGTGACTTGCAGCATCCCCATGGTCACATTATCACGATTTGGGTGGCTGGCAACTGGCATATATTTACAATGGTTGCAGCATTTCAGGGTCACTGGATTGCCCTTTGCAACCATCCCAGCTGGCTTGTCAATTGGGAAGCCAGATTCATTTAACAATCATGTAACAATCGTTTGTTTTGCTTAACGGTGGCAAAAAAAGTTGTAAAATCAAGCACCACTCAACGAATACATCGCTTAGCAATGGAAGTCGCAATTGTGGTCATAAGGACTATCTATACCAGGGGTAGTCAACCTTGGCTCTTTTATGACTCGTGGACTTCAACTCCCAGAATTCCTGAGCCAGCCATGCTGGCTCAGGAATTCTGGGAGTTGAAGTCCACGAGTCATAAAAGAGCCAAGGTTGACTACCCCTGATCTATACGAAGTAGACACACGCTTGGAGTGTCTGTGCATGTGGCACAGGGATAGCTAATTTAAATGCCAAGATCAGAAGAAAACAACACGCAGAATGCACAGACGTTGATAACAGCTGTGAGGAGCACAACATCTGGAGTGCCTGCAAAAAAAACCCCTGACGAGGGCAGCAAAGGGACACAAGAAAGCCAATTCTTTCTGCCCTCTTAAGGTCACCGAAATCTTTGTCCCAAGCCTGGTAGACCTATCCCAAACCAGAGCGAGTTGTCTTTTTTTTTTGTGTAGACAAACTGCCTTCTCACGACCCTTCTCAGACGCGTGAGAGTTTTGGTGCAATACTCCTCACAGGCAAACGCCGCCGTGTGTGGAGCTCGCCGCCTCCACACACGGAGGGAGCCCATCGGGGAATACGAGGAGCCGAGCGAGCGGAGAACGCGCGATTTCGCCATCTCATCCGCGGCGTCGCTCTACCACGCAGCCGTGCCGCTGTGGCTTGAGAAGGCCGGTCAGGCGCTGGGCTCGTGCCGCAGTGCCGTGCACCGCCCCTGGAACCTGACAGGGGGCGCTGGTTACCGGTTGCTTAGGTAGCTTCCGAATAAGCTTTTTAAGTCAGCCAGCCCGCCCGCTCGCCGCCAGCGGCCCTCGCGGTTGGGAATTCAGGGGACGGGCGGGAGCTTCGGAGGCTCCGCGTCGGCCTTTCTGGCACTCGGTTAGCGCAAGGCCCGCACGGGAGAGGAGGGCTCTTCGCCATGCAGGCCCCGCGGCGCCTGCTGCTGTTGTTGCCGCCGCTGCTTTCGGAGGTGAGTTGAGGCGCCGGACCGTGTTTACCCATCGTTTGGCCGCTAAGGCCGGGCTACCTTCTTCCTTGGGCCCATAGGAGGGCATTACTAGGCACCCTTCTTGGAAGAAGGAGCAGTTCGGAGATGCGTATCTGCTGGGGCTTTCTCGGGAAGCCCGGAGGATGGTGGGAAAGGAGGCGAAAGGAATCCCCCCCTCCTTGAGGAGGCAGACAAAGGTTGGGAGCTTTTGAGTGTTGGAATTAAGAGAAAGGCGGGCGGGGTTTAAATTGAGTAATCAAAAATGAAATCATGTTTTGCCTCCGATAGGAACTCCCTTCCTTAGTGACCTGCGCGTCTTTCGTACGTCTGAAGGAAGTCGAGCCTTGAGACCTCGTAGGGAAAGAGGGAAGCTCGTCCCCGCTTACCCTTTGCTTGGGGGCAGATAGCGCTTACTTAATCGCCTGAAAGTTTGGGGCTTCTCTTTATAGTATCTTCCTTTTTTTGGCTTCCCCCACATCTAAGGATGCCAGCCAGAAGACGTGGCAGGCACCCCCAAACAACACTGCCGTCCTGCTTATTTTGCTCCTTTAATACGGCCAGGTGCCTCGTTATAGGACTCAGGGGATCGTTTTTCGTATTCTTTGTTTGCATCTTCACCTTTGCATTCTCGCATTCCGTTTTTGCTGCTGGCTAACACGTTACGCCTTCGTGACCCAACTTTTTGTAAATGTACATTTGGCAAATATTGTATTTGCTGATAAAATGCTTTATTTTGCCCAGTTTGCACTTTAGATGTGTTGAGCATTATAGCATTCCCAGCTAGAATGGATTTCGGGAAGAATCGGTTCAAGAATTTACATAATCTAATGCAATGTATGAAGTGATATATATTCTCAGTTTTGATTTGGACTTGTGAGATCCATCTACTCCCCTTGTAATTATGGTGAATATCTGCACCCTTTTTTTTTTTGCAAAAAATAAAGTGGTTAAGATTATAACCCTTAAATCTTTCAGTTTAAATATATTTGTGAGCTCCTGAGTATCAGGTTTTTATAGAAATTACATAGTTTTAATTAAATCATAGAAATATATAATATATGAGTTCAAACCGTAAAAGTAATTTTCTTCAATTCCTGTTCAGTTCTTTAAACAGTTTCTGACAGGTGGCTGAAATCTTCTTTGAAAGCTTCCAGTGAAGTATAGTACATTGGTTTTAGGACACAATTCTATTGCTTAATATATCTTACTATCAAAACTTTTCTCCTAATATTTAACATACATTTTCTTTCTTTTAATTTCAACCTGTAGATCCTTATCCTGTTGCCACTTTTAATAGAAAAGTGGTCTAATCTTGCATGTGGCTGCCTTATAGATCAGTGCTAGCATGCTAGCTGGGGTATTCTGGGAATTGAAGTCCATCTTAAAATGGCCAGGTTGAGCAATACTGTTATAGATAATTGTAGATCAGGGCTGTCAAACTGCTGGCCTGCGGGCCAGATGCGTCATGACGAAGCGGTGCCCACCCCACTGCCGGCAATGGAAAAAAAGTTGTGATACATCACAACACATCAAGTGATGTTGCTAGTTTGACACCCTTGTTGTAGACCATTATCACACTCCCATTTGCCATCTTTTTTTGCAAGGTAAACTTGTCCAATTCCTTTAACCCTTCCTTCTTGGGCTTAGTTTCAGACCTCATCATGCTACTTCTCCCCTGAACCTGATTCAGGTTGTCTAAGTCCCATTAAAATACAGTGCCAAGTGTAGTGGCCAGAAATAATCAAAGCATTACTATCAGAGTGCAATGGAATTATTGCTTCCTAATAGATGGATGAAATGCTTCTGTTAATACAGGCCAGTATCATATCACCTGTGTTAGCTGTTATGTCATACTGATTGCTGAAGTTTAATTCTAGTGCTCCAAGGTGCATTTATTTGATGTTTCCCACCAAGATCAAGACCTCAAACTTTCCTTAATATTCCCCCTACCAGATATGACTCGGTGTTTAAACATACTAAGATTATTCTGAACCATGAGTAGCCAATTCCCTGCCTTGGTATCATTAGCAAATGTAATACACATTCTTTCCATTCCAACTTTTAGATCATTTAGGAAGACATTGAACAGAACTGGAACAAGACCCTGAGCGATCTCACTCAGTATTTCCCCTCAGGACAATTTACAAATTTTCTTTTGGGTGGGTTGTTCAACTGGTTATTACAGATTATCATTTAACAGACATCTTGTTCTTAAGGATATAATTAAAAATCTTGTTAAATGCTTTACTAATATCATGGTGCAATCCCTTTACAACACTTCCTTTCTTAAACTATCACTGTCATAAAAAGAAAGAATATTGGTCTGACATTACTTGACAACCCTATACTGTTGTCTAAGTTCTAAGTTCCCCCTCTGTTATATTTTGAATGTTTAAACTATTTGCAAAAGTGAAAAATTAACTATTAAAGTAGGCTATTTTTTATATTTTATTCTATTAATTTGATAGTTTTTCAGCATGCATGAAAACATAGTATTTATTTACTGCTCAATGTTCTCCCCCTTTTTGAGTAAACTTTCTATGATAGTCTAGTCCAGGGGTATCAAATGGATGGCCCTTGGGCCACGCACACCCCAGCTCCACAAAGGCAAAAAATGTCATGATACATCATGATACGTCACATGATGTGATCAGGTTTGACTAGTCTATAGAAATGTATGGTTAAAAATGTTAGTTATTTTTTTAAAACAGTGCTGCTATCAGCTGTCATAAGGCTTTATTTCTCATATGTAAATCTGTAACAATGGGAATTTATGGCACTTGAGATATACATATTTGAAGAAACCTGGTGAATCGTAAATTTTTAATCCTGGATTTGATTGTATTTTTTTAATAGATAAGGTACATTCAAAACCTGAGATCGGGTATCCATGATTATAATTGACAAATGAAAAATGCCAACCTAGATAAATATTTAAAAATAGAGTAGAAGAAAGAGTAAATAAGGGATCACATAGTTTTTCACACATTTCTGAAAGTAAAAATGGCATTTCTGCATGGTTTCTGAAGAGAATTTTCAATCTAGGTGGGTAAAAGTACTAAAGCCAATAACTTGTGAGCTTTATTGAATACTATAGTACCGTGGTGGCAAACCTATGGCATGTGTGCCACAGGTGGCAAGCAGAGCCCTCTCTGTGGGCACGCACACTGTCGCCCCAGTCCTAGGCCTTCAGCTGGGTTTTATAAAACCTTTTCGCTTTAGGCCTCCGCCGCCGTGTGCAAAAAAAAAAAAAGGTTCAATCAATCAATCAATTTCAACTTCTCACGGGAAAAAAAAATCTCGCAAAGTTGGAATTGATTGATTGAACTTTTTAGTCCCACCCAGTCTGCCGTCACCACCGCAGCCATGCCCACCCAATGGGCCACGCCCACCCAGCACCCGATGATACATAAGTGGGTTTTGGGTTGCAGTCTGGGCACTCGGTCTCTAAAGGGTTCGCCATCATTGCTATAGTATTTAATTTTGAGTAAAAATGCATAGGATTATTTTTCTAAGATTATTTTCTTAGATTTGTTCAGCTCTGATTTGAGTGATCTGCTTTCCTATTTTTAGCATACAGTAACATGTTACTACATTTGCCAGGGTCTGTGTGTGCAGTTTATAAGTTTACTGGATAAATTTTATTTTATTCTTTTCAGTGTGGTTAATGGATAAGAATGTGCTTGTGGTTTTTTAGTATGTTAGATCCTGATTATGCTTTATTAATTTCTCCATTGTCCAGTCTTGCCACAAGGGTTTGCATCATTTAGAAGAATAATGTATAGATTGTGTTCTTATGCTTGCTAGGAACATTAGACAGAGCATACGATAGAAGGAAAACATAGTGATTATAATGCACTTTCCTCTAACATTACATATCATGAATAATAGCCCAAAATTAAGTGCCTTTTTCATTATCCCTCTTTAAAAAATGATACCAATAACTACAACCTTTCAAGATAGTATCAAATATAAATGGAGTTTAGAGAGTTCTAGGATATCAAGAAAAATTAATCTTGTTGAAAGTATTTTTCTGAGAAATTTAGAACAAAGACGAATAATTCTGTATTCCAATGGTGATTTTAGTACAGGGTAATATATTCTGAAAGATAATTGATTGGAGAGGCTTGGGTGTGGATTTTCATATTGGAATTAATCACATATAAAGTAAAAATGAGAATAGAGATTGTCTAGTTCTTTAAGCAACTATGTTTGTTTGATGGGCTTCTAGAATCTCTTATTATCCAATACTGTGCTCATAAAGAGATGTTTTGCTGTTACAGCAGCTACCAGTAGCATTTTGTTAGTTTTATACATTTCGCTATACAAGAATATGTCAACCCTTGGTAGCCAGCTCTGGAAACAAGATTCCACAGGAACACCAGAACTATACCTCTTTGAGATAGGTTATAATAATAGAATCTGCAAATCGATGTCTTTCCTTTTCTCCTTCTAATATCCATGGAATTTGGAGTGGGAGGGGCTAGTCTGTGTTTCTTTGTAACTCTCCCACTTCTCTGAAATTAACACATATTTCATCTGCACTTGGTGTTCCCCTAACAGCCTCTGGATTCCTTCTCTAAGTTGTCTCCTTGGCTTTCTGTACTATATTAAAGACTAGTAGAATGTTTGAGAAACTAAACTGTCAAACATATGCCTAGGCCAGGGGTAGGCAACGTTGGCTCTTTTATGACTCGTGGACTTCAACTCCCAGAATTCCTGAGCCAGCCATGCTAGCTCAGGAATTCTGGGAGTTGAAGTCCACGAGTCATAAAAGAGCCAAGGTTGCCTACCCCTGGCCTAGGCTATACTTTCATCTGCTAAAGTAGATGAATAGAACATATCTTCCTATCTTAAGGAGAGAATTAATATACAGTGAATTAATATATAATATAGTTAATATTTTTAGTCGTAGTAAACATGTAGGAAAATAGTTGAATCATAAATTGAATAGTTGGTTAAAGTTAAGCAACCACCATGAG